TTGTTGGGAACATGAAGGTATCACAAAATTATTCCTAATAATTCTGACTCTCTTCATTTATAAAAATTAAAACACGTAAATATTTATAATTATTTCACATAGTCTAGTGAACGTTTGCTTTTTGAATTATTAACGAAAAATACTGACCAATGGGAGCACGTGTAGGGCCCGCGCGCCACCATGGATAGGTTGGTTCGAATCGTTACGCTAGGGAGTGGGGATTCAGGTCGTGACGCTTAGCAGGAGCTCAGCGCAGGCGCACGCTAAGCCACGGGAGTGGGGACTCAACACGGGCCCTCATTGGTCAGCGTTTTTCGTTAATAATTCAAAAACCATACTTCGCTTCACATTTTGCCAAAGGAAATTGTTGTTCAGAATCTCCCCTCTTCCTCTCTATATTTCGCTGTTTCGATTTGCTTCTCAAAATTTTAAATCCACAGGTGACGGGTCACATCGTCCAACCGAGCGACGCGAGAGCAAAGCAGAACGTACAAGAAGTGGACACTCGTGAGCAACTGCGGAACGTGCAACAGCTGCGAGTGGTCCGTTACAGATACGCTCCAGAATTCGCGCTGCATTCCGGTTTGGGGATCAAACAGCAGGAGGACACGGGAGTCATAGCGCAAGAGGTCCAGCAAATACTACCGGAAGCTGTCCTCCCAGCTGGGGACATCGTTCTACCAAACGGGCAGAGGATCGAGAACTTCCTGGTAGTTAATAAGGAGAGGATATTCATGGAAAATGTTGGGGCTGTCAAGGAACTCTGCAAGGTCATTATATTTCATTATTTCAAAAATTGTCTGTCCTTATCTGATGAAGTTGCCTGTCTTTTCTTGCCTGGAAGATTGCCTGTTCTTTTTATCTGAATGATTGTCTGCATTTCTTGCCTTAAAAAGTTGCCTATGAAGATGAGTCTGAGAATTAAGGATCTCTGAACGTCTGTTAATCAGGTGACGGATAGCTTGGAGACACGAATAGACCAACTGGAGCGGATAAACAAACGTCTAGCGAAACTGAAGAGAGGCGACAGCCTGAAGAGTTCGATTAGTACAATCTCTAGTATATCAAGTAACAAATACTCATCATCTATCAATAGTAAAAGCACTGTACAGGGAAAAGGGAAGAAGAGTGATCGAGACGACGAGCTACTCTGCAGCAATAAATTTATCCAAATCGTGATCGTCATCCTGATCCTCATAATGGCCTTCTGGTAACTAAAACCAAATCAAGTT